TGCCTTAATGATAACCATTATGTGCTATCAAGTAATTTCTGACTTATGTCAACCCTTTTTAGGGGTTTTCTAGGTAGAGAATATTCAGAAGTGCTTTACCCTTCCCTTCCTCTAGGGGCAGCCTTGAGACACTGCAGCTTGCCCAAGGCTCCCCAGGCTGGCTCTTCTCCACAGTGGGGGAATCGAACTCCCAACCTCTCGCTCCGCAGCCAGAGACCTAACTCACCGAGCTATCCAGCCTGCTTAGAAAGCCAAATTTGACTTCCTTTGGGTTCAACCATCAGGCTAGACGGCTAGGTCTCTGACTGCGGTTCTCTTCCACACTGCCCCCCCTGAGATAAAAGCCAGCCTGGGGGGCCTTGGGCAAGCTGCACAGACCCAGAATTGCCCTCAGAAGAAGGGAAAGGTAAACCACTTCTGAATATTCCTTACCTGATAAACCCAAGAAAAGGGTCACCATAATTTACAATTGACTTCACTGCACCTAGTTATTATTACTATTATTTATTGTTATAAAGGTAGAACAACCTATCCGTGTATCCGCTGCCTATATTTTCAGTGGTTTCAGCACCATGGACAGCTCAGCAGGGCTATAAAATGGAGGCAGGGTCAGAAACTCTCACAAAATATAACTCTGCGGTTTTCGACATCTGGCAGAGGTTGGGAGTTCGATTCCCCCCATCAGTGCCTGCTGGGAGGGGAACCAACCTGGGTAGCCTTGGGCAAGCTGGACAGTCCCAGGGTGCCCCCCCCAGAAGAAGGGAATGGGAAACCAGTTATGGTTATTCTCTACCATAATTGCCATGATTCAGAATCCACTGGACAGCGCATGATCATTTGCTTGGATTCAACGAGAGGATGAGCAAATTTGCCTAAGAGCACATGTGTGTTTTATTTTATTTCCTTATGAAGGAGCAAAGGGACGATGAGCAGCATCCGGGTCCCCCTAATAACGGTGTGTTTCTTCTCCCCCTCCTCCTTTCGCACCATCCGCACCCTAGACACCCCCCCTCCTCCCACAGGCGTTGGGCTGTGATCAAACATATTGTGACGAACGGGGATGCGGGCCACAGCGGCAGCCACTTTGATTCATCTCCCCGTCAGCGCAGACCGCCGCAGCTGGCATGTCACCACGACCCGACGCGTCTCAAATGAAAAATGACAGCCTTCAAAAGCGAGCCTCCACGGATCATCATCCCCCCGTTGCCCTCTGCGCTGATGCCCTTCTCGCTCACCGCAGATCAGGGTTGGGGGTTGGGTTGGGCTGAAATATATGTATTTTAAAAAGGAGCCGAGCCAACGCCACGGAACCGTGGCTGAATCTGTAGGAGAGGCAGCGACTTCGTTAAGCCTCCAAACTTCTAAGGCTTAAAAACCTGGAAACCTCCGCATGCAAGCCATGTGCTCGGCCGTCTAGCTAAGATCTCACTCCCTCGTCTCCGCACACCGAATGTTTCTGCCCATCCTATGGGCTCAGCTGAGAACAAACCAAGTGGGAGTCTCCAGATAGGGTTGGACTACAAGTCCCATCTCCCCCTCTGGGGATGACGGAAGTTGTGGTCCCTCAAGGACTAGAAGCAGAGGGAGGTATTTACACTAATTTCATGGGGCGGGGGGAGGGAGATGTGAATCCGTGCTGGGTTTCAGTCCAAACATTACAGGATCATTACAAGGTGCTGCTGTCCCTCAAAGGTCAGGCCAAAACACAGGGCAGATTTCCGCCCACGTGCTGGTGAAACTGGAATCACCAATCCCCACTGGGCTGGAAGGGATGTGCCCACTCCTTGCTCCGAGCGGTTCCCGTTTACCTGGTCAGAAGGCTCATCGGCAGAACAAATGCCCCTCTTCTGCCTTCTACTCCACATCAACCATCGGGCCGACACACAAACAGCACAAGACACGGAGCAAAACATAAATCTTTGCTGTCGGCCACTTCTTGAGCTTTCCGATGCCAGGATTTTTCTATATGCCCGGCGTGAATTCTGTTGCTGAATTACTGTCCCACCCAAACAGGCTGTCGGTATTCTAGACAGCTACTGCCTGCACACTGGAGCATTCATTTTTGCCGTCCAAAACCAGGTCCTCGTTGTGCATTTAAAGATATACCCGTCAGAGGTGTGTATGGACCTAGGCTTGGAAAGGAGGGGAGAAGTAGACTCTTCTTTCCTTTCCCCCTTTTACGCTGCCTTAATTGATCAGAATTGATCACTCCCCATCTCACAGTTCCCCGGGCCCAACACTAATGCAGACTGAAATCCAGAGTGCCTTTACTCATGTGCCGTCAAATCAATTCTGACAGGGTTTTCAGAGTTTTCCAGGTAGACCACACTCAGAAGGGCCTGACCATCATCTTCCTCTAGGGGGAGCCCTGGGACGGTGCAGCTGGCCCAAGGCTACCCAGGCTGGCTCTTCTCCCAGAAGGCACAGTGGCGGGATTCGAACTCCCAACCTCTGCCTCTGCAACCCGACGCCTAAGCCACAGAGTTATTGTAAGCCAGCTCACTGTCTCTATACATGCAGTGAAATGACAGCGAGAGTGTTTACCTCCATCTGCTACAGCAGTGGTCCCCAACCTTGAGCCTCCAGGTGTTATTGGACTACAACTCCCAGAAGCCTTCACCACCACCTCTGCTGGCCAGGATTTCTGGGAGTTGAAGTCCAAGAACATCTGGAAGCCCAAGGTTGGGGACCACTGTGCTACAGTTATTTTAAATAACGGGACCAAAGGGGGGAAAAAGGCATTCCATGAACCCCAAACTCCAAATGCACAAACAGGCAACATCGTTATGAGGGCCTATTAAAAGGCCACCAAAGGCTGCAAGGTTCCTGCCTCTACAGATCTCTTAGGGCTTTAGAAGCAACTATCCTGCACTTACTGATCCGATATATGCCCTGGGATGGATGAAGACAAGGAGAGGAATGGAACATCCCATTCTGAATTACCAATGATGATGATGATTTGCTGTCAAATCAATTTTGACTCACTGCGACTCACTTCAGGGTTTTTCTAAGTAGAGAATACTCAGCTGTGGTGTGCCCTTCCCTTCTTCCAGAGGAGGCTCCCTGGGACTATACAGCTTGCCCAGGGCTACACAGGCTGGCCCTGATCCCAGGAAGCATGGTGGGGAATCGAACTCACAACCTCTCACACCGAGCTATATCATGCAAGAATTTCTGACCACGCTTCTGTCTGTCAACCTTTCTGGATCTCTTTCCATCTGGATTTTCGTAGACCAAAATTAATTACCAAATCTATGAATCTGTAAAGGTTTGGTCCCCCCCCCAATTGATCTTCGTAATACTAACCCCCCCTCTACGCTTCTCGCTGCATCGTCTCCATGCGGAAAAGCGGGTTAGAAGAGAAGAAAGAAGATCGAGGAGCCCCCCCCCACAGAGGTAAAGGGTTAAAAAGACGGGGAGCATCCGGATTATTAGAACGGAGCATCATTTTGTAAACATATGTAGTTCCCATGGCAACCGCAGCCAAGTTCCTTAGTTACGGATGGAAGGGGAGGGTAAAAGAAGAGAAAGCAAAAATTCGGAGCGGATGGATGACAGAATGGAAAGAAGAGAAGAAGGGGGAGAATTTATTATTTATTTTCTTGGGATTCCTGGAAGCGTCACCAAAAGGAACAGGGGGGAAAAAGACAGAGGGTAAGGGGGGAGAGACAGAGATAGCCCTGGGGTGGGGGGAAATACATATAAATAGAAAATATATAGGGTAGAGGGTGGATAAACGAAGCTTTTTGATACCAGGCTCCAGATGATTCTGTCTGATTCTGCTACTCATTAAGAAGGTACAGGTTGCTAATTATCAATCGATGTGCGTGCAATGTGTCGGAGGCCAGCGTGCCCCATAGGAAATGTAGGTTTGGGGTCATCCCCTCCCCCAGTTCCCCTCTTTCCCCATGCCACATCCATTTCGTCCTTGCTCCTCTTTACACGCAGGGAGGAGAAAGGCTCAGCAAACCCAGTGGGTTTTCCACGAAACGGGTCTCTATAGGAAAAGGGACGTTTAAGCCACAGATGGAAAAAAATAAAACATAATAATAGGTGGATTGCCCCCCAGCCTCACCCTGAAAAAAAAACTTGCAATTTTATGGGAAGTACAGGAGCCGAAAGGGAGGAAGGGGTAACAGTTGGGAGGGACAAAAGGGAGCCGTGGGGCTCCCCAAAAATCGAATGCCTCCATTTGCAGGCCCCCCTGCATTGAACACGGGGTGTCCCCCCCAACCCCAAACCCAGCTTGTGTGTTGGCATCTCCAGAGGTTAAATCCAGAAAGCTTTTTTTCCCCTGCCACACCTAGGCCCCCCCACTACACATCTCAAATTGCACCCCCAAATTGTTCTGGTCTGTGTGCGAGAACAGCCCCCCCATAGCCGTCTGGAAAATCTACGCCCGGATCTCGGGGGGGGGAGGAGAGAGCCGGAAGATGACCCCCCCAAAATCTCTCCTGAACCCCAAACCTCCAGGTGAAATTGGCCATGATGAGGCTCTGGGGGGCCCCCTCCCCAAAAGATGTGGGGGGGCGTTCTTCACCATCATATAGATACGATGGGTTTAAATGGCATGGAAACCTCATGGCATCTCTCTAGAGCCCCCCAACCCTTTCTGCGTGTGCTTTGGGACCCCAGCTTTTTTGGGGGGACCCCCCCACTGACCCAGCCTCACAAATCTGCCCCCCTCCCC